AAAGGTTTCAACTGATCAGTTCCAAACTAAAGAAATCAGATGATAAAGTTCTATTGAACGTAAAGAAATTGTTTTTTTGTATTGAAGTAATGTTTTAAAACTCTTAGTGTTGCTTCCAAACCACAAGCACAGATAAGTCGCAAGTAACTTTTACTTTCAAGTGATGAGCTGTCACTCAGTTCATGTGTATATAAAGAGTACCATAGCACATACGTTCTTACGTCATTCCAACTTTTAGAGAGCAGGGAGTTACAAACTTATGTTGTCATCTCTTGTTCTTTTGAACTCAATGGATATAAGAACAATTTTTTTCACAAAGGTGAAGAATAAGAAGCTTTAGTCCCCGATTCCAATAAATTAATAATCAATTTATACTGTTTAGTATCCTCAAGGATAGAACGTGGTGCCTTGGACATGTATAACAAAATGCTTGGAATGATTTTAGATTCTTAGTTTTAGTTGAATTTATTGCAGATACTAAAAAGAAACGTTGGAACATCAGCATACCTGAAAAATTGATTTCTCATATGAACTAATTGTTTGCTCAAATCTGTAAGAGAGAGATTCATTCCATGCCAGTGTAACTGCTAATATAGAGACCTCCTCGTGCTCATCTAACTCAATCTGTTGAAATTTCGATATTAAAACCATGTACAGTGTAAGAAAGCTTGTTACACACATTTCATAGATCAACCGGATATACCAAAAACAAGTTAAAGATGTAATTCAACAGCTAGACGATAAAGTCAATGCCACTTCACCTGAGGAACGAAAAAGTAAGAAGAGCCACCCTTGCTATTTACAGTAGAGTATTTGTTGAATTCAATATCTGGAAAACCATAAGCCGTCACCATAGCTGATTCATCTGAGAGGAATCTGCAGAAGTTAGTTAGCTTAACTGCTTCAAGTAAAATGCAGCACTTTAGAACATGAGACTAAAGCACATTCATCACATCTTACTGGGATTTTCAAAGTTTAGCAAGAGAAATAATCATATATTCATTTTGAAACCAATTGAAACTAAACAAGCAAAAGCTTACGTTTTCATCATGCTATGTCCCTTGGAGTCGATTGAAGACGGATGAACGAAAGAGAGTGCATTCCCAATCCCAAAAACCCCATGAGGTTCCTTTACATATAGTGATTTATAAGAAGGCTCCACAGTTTCCTTGGAGAGGAAAAACACAGGATATACACCAGATGACTTCGGTTGAGAGCAAAACCAGAACAAAGCTTTTGCCCTTGGAGGCACAGCCACCTACAAGTACCATCATCAATTTACATATGTATGAAGTAACAAGACGAGTCAAGATATGAAAAAAATCTATACTTGAAATCGCAAGACGCCAGTAGATGACTTAGGAGGATTAGTCTTCAATTCGTCAACAGCTTCCTTAATGCTCTTAAGGCCAAGCTCAAGAGTCAAAGCTGGAGACAATGTACGAGTCACACACACTTGAACCATTAAATCATCATCCAAATTCACCTCCAAAGCATCACTACTCATAATCGGACCATCAAATTGAACTCCATGAGCGACCTATACAACAGAAAATCAAATCATCTTTAAGAAACACAAAAACATTCCCATCAATGTTATTCAAATGAGAGTCAAGGAAATAACCCAACCTCAATGTTTCTTCCGATTCCATAAAGAGAAACACGAAGAGACTCAGCGAAGGAGAAGCGTTCTCTGCTACGTCTGATGGAGTTTCTAGAACTGTAACGAGGGATTAGAGAAGGTAGAAATGGAGGATTCGAAACTAGAAACGAAGATCGCATCTTCTTCGCTGTGATGAATTTGAGATTGTGAATCAATGGCTGGTGAGAGGTTTTTTGGAGGTTTTTTGGATAAGGCGCATAAGATTAATGATTTAATGGTTTTTGATTTAGTAAAATTACGGTTTATGATTTAATGTTTGAACCAAGAGACCGTTACGAACCGGGTGTTAACCAAAACCCACAACGCATAGATTATGAATTTGTTTCTGGTTTGTGGAACGGTTATTGCTTTAATCGTTTAAATATAATTAAATCAGAAGTTATGTTACCAATCGATCCCTGGCTAAAGTGGTTTGTTTCCTAACTAGGAACGTCCGCCACCAGGGTTCGATGGTACTTGTGATGTGGAAGAGATCTCGAGGAAGGGAAGGAGAGGTCACTAGAGTATAAGTGGAGGAAGAGGTGGAGGAGGGGGACGAGTAACTAGAGTCTAGAGATGAGGGGGGAGTTACGAGGCCGACTTATCGATAGTCGATAGTTGTGAATGTGGAGGACGAGGGCTGGAGAGGTAGTGGTGTTGAGAGGAAGAGGTCGAGGAGGAGGACGAGTAACTAGAGTCTAGAGATGAGGGGAGTTACGTGGCCGACTTATCGATAGTCGATAGTTGTGAATGTGGAGGACGAGGGGTGGAGAGGTAGAGGTGTTGAGAGACATAGAGCCAGCCAGCGGGCAGGGGGTGGTAGGAGGAGGTTTAGTGGAAGGACGAGGGGTGTAGAGGTGTTGAGAGACATAGAGGCAAGCATTAGAGGTAATTTAAATTACCTCTCTTTTTTTGTATATTTTGGTGTCTATTTAGATCGTCAAAGAAATACATCTTTTTGGAATCGCAAACATGACATTTGTTGTTACCGTTCAAAGACCTATGCATGAGGAAACACACACAAGAGAAAAAAAACAAAAAAAGACTAAGTTTCATTAATTGCTCAAACACCTAAAGTTTCATTAAAAAAATTTGTGCCACCATTCGTAACTAGAAAATTACCTATTCATTTTGTGGTACTATTCTATTTAGAGAGTGTTGAGTAAGAAAGTAACTTGAATTTGTTGTTACCGCTCATGTCTATTTCAAGTAACTACCTATAAAATTTTACTCTTTTCATTTTGTTACTCTATTCGTAACTTTACACTTCTCAAATTATGAGCTTCTTAGCTTAGTTTTTTTTTCACTTCGTTTTCGGAAACAGAACCCTAATTACACATGGACTTGATCTACAACAAAGTCCAATAACTAACTGTTTACTCTTTGGTTTATCTCTCAAGACACAACCCAACAAGTTGTTGTGACAATGCTTCAAAATAGAAATCCTGATAAAACTATTTGGATTTTGTTTTGAGGAAGAAGAGAAAATACTTTTCTATAAGTTTCTGCCAAACAAAAAAAGTAATGCCTTCATTACTTTATGCTTGGTAAGTTAACCAATGCTTAGCCAAAAAAAATCACTTTTGAGAGCATTGGTTTAACTTAAGCTAGATGGATTGGACTAGCTAGACGATTTAATATCATAGGAGGAATTGCTCGAGGGGTTTTATATCTTCATCAAGATTCATGATTCAAAATCATATATACATCGAAACCTCATAGCTAGTAGTATCCTCTTGGACGTTGATATGAACCCGAAAGTTGTAGATCGTGGAATAGCGAAAATGGACAAAACAAGAGTAGTTGGAAACTAGTAAAAGACAAACAATAAATCTCTACCACTAGAGTTTAAAATTATAATATTTGCTTTCCAATAATCAAGACAAACCTTAATGGTCCATAACATCAGCAAAATAAGTGTTTCATTGTGAGTATGTGATACGTCACTTTAAGATTTAGTTTACTTTCATCAGTTACCCCTTCAAGCAACTAATGGACTAGATTGCTTAATAGTCATAGAAAAGTATGTTCTCTTCTTACATAAATTATAAATAACATGGCTGTATTTTCTACGTTATTGAATTGATCCTTAGTCTATAGCAAAATTGTTAGCCGATTAACAATGTCATGATGGCTAAAATTGTCTAATTAAGATATTTCAACATGTCACTATAATATGAACAGACTCGTTTGCAATTTGCTGCATCTCGCACTCTCGAGTTTTCAAACATTTATCTGTATATGTTTGATGCCATCACGCCACTAAAGATGATTGGCTTTAAGTGGATCTAGGAAACTTCGTTACTATCAGAAAACATCAATAATCTAATCTTTACTTTGGATAAAATATTATTTATAACAGCTACTAAAAAGTTACGGCCTAATAAAGCTAGAGAGCTCACGCGAGCTGCAAATTTAACCAATCCGATACCCCAACCCCAAGTAGACATTGACTCTAATTGGCTAAGAGCCTAAGATAATTAGCCTAATGATAAATTACCAATATATTTCATCCTAGCTATAATTATTATTTTTTTCTATATTAGTTTACTAGACTTTTATATGACTTGGTAAAAAAATGTTACCTAATGCAAAATTTATAAAAGCATATTTTAGCTATCCGACCACAACTCTCGCAATTATGCTTCACAAACTATAGTTGTTGTTTTTTTTTTTTTTGAATATCTGGAAGTTCAAGCCCAAAGGCCCTACATCTCTCAGAGGCGGGATTCACACCAGGTTAAATTCATCTCCTTTGGAGAAGAGATCCCTCCCAACGGACGTCAAATCCAGTACTTCCACCTGAGAAATTTATCACTGAGTCAACACAACGTTGGTAACTATAGTGGTTTTTGGTAAAACCTCTTCATTGTCAACTATTTAACACTATAAATTATGTACAAGGAATAAAGTCACTTTATGCAACATCATTACCCACAAATTTCATAAACCATTGGATTATCGATTAAGTGTTATCCCTTTTAAGAAAATAAAGTATACTCTTAAAAAAATTAGATATGGTTGCTCGGAAAGAAACATGGTGCGTCTACGAGTTGCTGCCTCTTACGCTTTCTTTGAATAATTTATAATATTTTTTTTTTTTGAGCAACGAGAATAATTTATAATATAATCTTTGATTTTCTCTCGCAATGGTCCCCTTCACGCCATCTATTTGCTTACAACTTTCAAGTGCTTCATGACTCATTAATCTCACGATTAGAACTTCTATTTTTCTTCTCCTATTATATTAAAATTTTAATTTACGTGTACTCAGCCACTTGGATTAGTTATTAGTGTAAGGTCACACTACCCTCAATTTATTCATCTATAAAAACCAAATTAGAGTGCATTTCATTGATCTATACCATCATACTTGTTAATACATTAGGTTACAAAAAACACATAACTGTTTCTATATATGGCTGGTTTTGTCTATACCATTCCATGTGAAAACCCTAATCCAAAGTCTTTATTCCAAACCTTTGTTGATCGAGTTCCACTTTCAAACTTGCATGCCACGTCAGACGACTCTACCCGAAGTGCAGAGGATGATGAGCGGAAGCGGAGAAGGAAGGTATCGAACCGCGAGTCAGCTCGGAGATCACGTATGCGGAAACAGCGTCACATGGACGAACTGTGGTCCATGCTTGTTCAGCTCATCAACAAGAACAAATTTTTAGTCGATGAGCTAAGCCGAGCCAGGGAGGGTTACGAGAAGGTTATAGAAGAGAACATGAAACTTCGAGAGGAAAATTTCAAGTCGAGGAAGACGATTAGTGAGATCGGGCTTAATAGGTGTCTTAACGTAGAGGCCGATCAGATCTGGACCGTCTAATCGTCTCGTAAGCTTGTTGGTTTTTTTGTTGTTTATCTAAAGAAGAGGACCAACGTATACAAAATATTTCGTAAATGAATCTAAAAAATATATAATCAAATATATCTTACCGATAATATAATCTAGAGAGAGTGTTCTTTAGATTTCAGATTCGAATCTTGTCATTGGGGTGTCCAGGGGACTTATATTGCTCTGTTTTGAATTTTGGTCCAAAACTTTTTGGTTACAAAAATTAAATAAAAAATTTCATGTTCTAATAAATAAACAGGTCCATATTTATGTATGCATCAATCATTGTCTCTTTTGAAATGATTTTGATCCCGTTCTGAAATGTTTACGTGTCTATAAACCAAATATTTTCAAATGAAAGTGCTCTTTAGATTCCTAAGAGCTACAAGAACAGAGTTCTCATTAACCAAGAACATAATCTCTATCTTTTAGATCCTGTTTGATCTTGAATTCTATGTTTTGTCTGTTTTCAAGTAAACGGGCTCAACTATGTTTGTTTGGCTTGTTAAATCTTGATCTTTTAATTTCTTTCTGCTTTCATGGTAAAGCTTGAATCTTGCTAGTAAATGACTTAAGTAACATCAACGGAGTTTGCAATGTACATGGTTTGCAAGATAAGGATATGGGAGGCCCTTCCCGAAATGGTATTTAGTTAGTAAGAAACTCCCAGAATTCTAGAAATGTAAAGTGAAACTGTAAACCTTAATTTTGCATCATATTGTCTTTTCTCCCCAGTTCCAAATAGCTCAGGGTTATATATTTATAGATACAAAATATAAACCCCTGATATCTTTTGATAGAAAATTTGGCGAAAAAGAATCACATCTGGATCCATTCAGCTGTAAGTGCTAGTTTCACATGTCAATGACATGACGTGTGAGGCTAGCACGTATAGATGAATTGATCATGATGTGATTCTTTCGAGCTAAATCTTATACTTACAAAATATCAAATTAAAGATTTTATGTTTTGTATTCATACAAATACAGTCATGTGCCGCTCATAATTAGAGAAAAAGCAATATAAGTATTCATTTAGATGTTTACAGCTTCGCTTTAGTTTTCTGGGGGTTGCTTACTAATAAATATCATTCAATGTCTCACATATGTATTCTCTATCTTGCAAACCAACAAAATCGTAAAATAATATTTTTAACGTAAAAGAAAAAAATTAAAATGTTAGATTCTATTTTTTTAACACGGGATAGACCAAACCTTATGAATGTTCCAGATGAAGTTGTCTCCATCCTTGCATTTTGATGGACGAAGTACTCGAATGTGTGTTCTGAATTTAAAGAGATTATTTTCCTATAGAAAAACTTGCTAAGCAGCTTGTGCTTAGACGATATTAATGATACGACATTATAAGACGAAGAAGCTTATTTCAATGACAAATTGATTTGGGGAAAATAACAAACTAGACTTTATGTTCTCTTCCACTTAGAAAAGAACAAAGACGACGAGAGGATTTTTGAGTTTTTGAAGGCGAGGAGATGGTGATGGAGAGTTTTTATTTAAGGATCACATATATAATCTAACCAACTAGATTATTAAACTGCCTTATTATTTACTACTTATATTTAGATTCGGCTCAATCGACGAATATTGTAAAATTTCTATAATAATAGTCAAACAATTTATCATATTCCCATAAACCGATTCAATTTTATTCAAAGTCAAAAAATTTATCCTTATCACTATGAACTCAAAAAAATAGTCAAATAATTTATCATACTCCCATAAACCGATTCAATTTTATTCAAAGTCAAAAACTTTATCCTTATCACTATGAACTCAAAAAATAGTCAAATAATTTATCATACTCCCATAAACCGATTCAATTTTATTCAAAGCTAAAAATATTATATTCTTATCATCATGATATTACGATAAAAATAAATTGACCATAATAATTAGGCATGGGCATTCAGTTTTTCAGTTTAGTTTGGTTTTGTTTTTTTTGGAGTTCAAATATTTTGGATTTTGAAAATAATTTTCAAATAAAACAAATTTTATTTCGGTTCAATTAGGTTTAGTCCAGTTTGAGTTTGAATTTGGATAAAAAATTATACAATATAAAATGAACAATTGGTAAAAGTTTAGATCAAAATATATAAGTGATATACCAACTATATATATTTGGATTCGGCTATACTGACGTATATTATAAATTTTGGATTTTGAAAAAAGGTCACAAACAGAACAAATTTTATATTGGTTCAAAATTAGGTTTAGTCCAAATTCAGGACGTATATAGGCATTTAAAACCGGTATAGGCTTATAACTACATAACTATTGTTTTTTGTTTTTTTTTCTCTATTTTAATGGGAAAATCACATTTTTAACCCTCAAAGTGTAACTGGGTAGCACTTTAAACCTCGAAAGAATTCTACTAACACTATAAACCACAAAGATTGTTTTACTAACACTTTAAACCTCCAAACTAGTTTTTCTATTTACAAAGCCATAAAAGATGATGGAACAATCAATTTATGTTTGTTTAATATATATTTATTTAGTTTAATTTAAATTTAAATTAGTTTTATTATTTATTACGACTTTGACGATAAATAAAAAAAGTAAAAAAAAAATCATCATCTTCGACTATTCACCGTCCGACCACAATTTTTTAGATTTTTATTCAGTTTATTGTATGTGTTCCCCATCTTTTTTATTCAATTGGTATTATGAGATTCCAATTTATCCACTGGAAAGAGTGAAAACACTTATGGATTAGTCTAAAAGATTTTTCTAATAGTTCATAAAAAAATTTCATGGTCGGACAGTGAGTAAACGAAGAAAATAAAGTTTTTTTTTTGTTTTTATAAATTTTTATTAATTGTAATAAATAATAAAATTAATTAAAATTTAAATTAAATGAAACAAATATATATTAAACAAACATAAGTTGATTGTTCCATAATCTTTTATGACTTTGCAAACAAAAAAGTTAGTTTGGAGGTTTAAAGTGTTAGTAAAACAATCTTGGTGGTTTATAGTGTTAGTAGAATTCTTTCGAGGTTTAAAGTGTTAACCAGTTACACTTTGAGGGTTAAAAATGTGATTTTTCCCTATTTTAATAGAATAGTTCAAGGCGTCGTAAATTTAATTTTATCACGTAACGTGGCAATGCATTCTGTTTCACCATGCCCAAGGCCATTGCAATGCCATTCTGTTTATTGTTCCATAATCCAAACCATTTCTATAACTAAACAACTCAAGAATCTGAAGATGATGGCAATAATGAGCATGCAAACGGCGATGGATCTTATCGTCGCCGGTTTCTCTCTAATCATCGGATTTGGATTCTTTGCCCTCATTGCCTCTGTCCTCTGCTCCGTCGCTTTCTTCCACCATGTCAAAGCCGCTACTCCCATCTCCACCGCTTTAAATTCTCGCCGCCGGAGATAAATCCGTAAGAGACATTTTTTTTTATATAGTATCCCTTTAACCCTTTCTACATGGATCCGGTCACGTCAAAACCCGACCTGGTCAATGACTTCGTTACTTGTCTATAAAATAATTCGATATTTATAAATTTTTTCTATTTTTCTTATAATTCGATTCAAGTAATTAAATTTTGAATCAATATGTATTGTTTCAGGGAACGTTAACTTTGTTTCTCACAAAGGCTTTTCTAGTTCAACTTGTACGAGGAATGGGTAGTGTGAAAAAATTGTAATCTAGAATTAATACAAATAAAGTTACACGTTATGCACTGATGTGTAACATTAATTAATTCTTTTTGCTAATTGTCAATTTTGTTTTCATAAGACTGAGATGAGTGTGAATGTCGATAACAGAGGAGACTCAAGCTTCTCTTTATTTATATTTCGAGTAATATGTACGAAGAAACTCACTACAGTTGCTATTGAGCATACATATATATTACCAGTTTAGTTGCCTTTTCTACATTATAACTATAATCTTGTGATAACACCTCATTCCGATGAGATTCATAAGCTGTTAATTGATACAAACTATACAATAAAGACTCAACTTCTTTAGCTAGCTAGTTAGACTGTGGTGCCATTGCAGCTTCTTTCACCATCTTGAACTCATAGTTTCTGTTGATGATGACATTGTGTTTCAAGGTCTCTGGAATGTTGTAATCAACAGTCGACGATTGTTTTGCTGTCTTCGTGTTGCGTACGAGAGATTCATACAACCCTTTGTCTAAATGTAAATGGAGTGTATCACATGAGCCACCATAACAAGTCAACGGTTTGCAGTACATGGTCTCTCTGTAACCAATACCACCTCTATATTGATTTCCGCCACCGTAACGGTCCCTGCCATAATGGACTCTGCTACCACCAGATCCTCCAATGCAGAGACCGGGAAAACAGAACCCGCCCTCGTAACCAAAATGACTTCCACCAGACCATTTCTGGTTTACGTTAAGGGCTCCTTCAACTGCTAAGAGTAAAAGTGTTAGTGAGAATGAAATACATATCCTTTTGAGTTCTGTCATTTCTGCTTCTTTTGGTGTTAATAGTTGAAAGCTGAGAGGGATTACAAATTTATATAGCTGTGAATCTGGTGTCATGCTTTTGGCATTAGTCAGTAATAGGAGCAGAAAAAACTGGGCAATGTAATGAGCATTTGTTTTGGAAACAAAGGTGTCGTGGACTCGTGGTACGTTTTAGGAAGGAAATTAAGGATATTGTTTTTTTTTTTTTTTTTGGTGAGTAGGATATTGTTGTTTTTATTGTATACAATTAGATTTTTTTCCTTTCTTAAATGTAAATATAAATATAGTGTAAACTTTTTTTTATTTGGTATAAATCTTAACATTAAACCAAAAAAATAAAAAAATAAAACAAGATTTATATATATAGTTATATATTGTGATTAATCTGTTTAAAATATTTAATTGGTTTATTAGCAAACGCTAATTTCCGTAAGCAAACTATTCCACGTATCCATTGATCCCATCCGGGTCGGTAAACCCGAAAACCCGTGGATACCTCAAAGAAAGGCCTATTACTAGACATAACCCATCATCTATTAAAGCCCACACTAAGCCCATAACACTACTTGGCCCAGTCACCGATTTCCCGGGACCAATCCCTACATCGATCTTCGCCGTGTCCCGCCGCGGAAACCCGACGGAGATGAATGCCAAATTCCAGATGATCCCGATTCAGTCTCTCTCTCTCTGCGATCCGTCGGTTGATCGAGTAAGTCATTGCAACTCCGGCGTGAATTTCCGCTTGCGGTGGTTGTACGACGACATTTTCTGGAGTTTGCGCAGCAATGGTAGACACTTTTTTCTCTACATGCTAATTGCCAATTTTGTTCTCATAAGCAAAATAAGTGTAATCTTGTGATAACATGTCAGAGTCTGATGAGATCATAAGCTTGTTTATTGGACTATTCAATAAAAGAATCAACTTTGTTTAGCAGCTAGTTAGATTGTGGTGCCATTGCAGCTACGTACATGTCCTTGAACTTATAGTTTCTGTTGACATTGTGTCTATGTTAAGGGCTCATCCAACTGCTAAGCTTGGTAAAAGTGTTAGTGAGAAGGAAATGTATATCAATTTGAGTTCTTTCGGTGTTGATAGTAGAAGGATGAGAGGGTTCACTGGGCTTATTATGTACTTGTCAATGGAATGAGAATTGTTTTGGAAGTTACGGTGTCGTGGTAGCATTGTTAGGTAGTTGATTAAGGATATTGTTAGTTGTTTTAAGTTAATTTAGTTTCTAGTTCAAACAATTTTAGATCAATAGTGCTTGTTAAAATCTGTTTTTGCGGTTTCAGGTTCAGCTGGCTTGAGCTCTGGACTTCAAACTGGAACAAGAGTTTCAACTCTAGAGTTTGAACAAGTCCATTGGTCTTCTACAAGTGAGACTTTGTACGCTGAATAATGAGGAGAAACACAACTACACAAGGGGTTAAATTCTGCTGCCATTCTCTTCCTCTTTTAGGTTTTAGGATAGTTTGGTTTGGTGATTCGAAAGACTTTCTTGAAGTTTTTAGAATTGTATCTGCAGGTTCTTCGTTTAGTTTTAAGAAGCGGAATTTAGAGTACTCTATCTTGAACCTTGTACCTGAATCTAATGTAATTATGTCAGTCTTACTTTAATATACTGATTGGCCTTCATAACTCTTCTCTTATGATTATGGAATTCTAGTTTCGTTAATTGATTGTACCAGTTTCTCGAAATCACACAATTTTTGATGAAAAGTTTAAGGTTCGTGTTGCTTGTTAATCTTTCCCTTGGATATCATTTGAACATGTGCAGGCTAATAGTTTGACAGAACTGCTTGGCTCTTTGCCTTTACTCGTTTGTTTCTTCGCAATTGTTTGTTTCTTCGGTCTTCCTGGAATTTGAAATTGGTAGACCAGGTCCAATGTGTTGTGCATTTACTGAGTCACATTCTCTCACATTTTGTGGGTCATAGAATTAGATTGGACGACCCTTATTTCATTATCATCTACCTGTTTATTGCTTCTGCACGTGCATGGTGGATTTGAGATTACAATGTGGAAAGTGACTTGAGAATCACATCTACGTGAGAGCGGTCCTCTCCTAGCAAGCTGCCAGCTAAAACTCTTTGTTGTTTTCTGCTCCCAATTCATTATACCTCAATAAGCTAAAACTTTTCAGTCATTTTCGAACACTTAACCGTATTGTTGATACAAATTACCAGCTTTGACTCAATAAAACCCTTCGTTTGTTTGTGGTGTTTTCTTTGATAAATACATTTCTATTTACTGTTGTGAACAGGCAGAAGCTACATGGTTCTTACTGTGTTGAAAGGTGGAGAAGAATATTACAAACAGGTTAAGATCCTCTCTAACTCTGTTCCTATTGTGAAATAGTAATTTATGAAAGTTTTGTGAGAGTTGATAATGACATATCTTGAATGATTGAAATTTGTTCTTTTAAAAAAAAGAATCATGTGAAGGTATTGAAAGCAGCAGGAGTCTTTGTTTATAGGCAAAGCTATGGTGTGTTAGCTACTTTGGGGCCACACCTATGGAACAATCTGGTAACCTTAGAAACTCCTGTTTTGTCATCAGCCTCTTTGTTTTATCCGAAATTCAATCGTTTGGATCTGAAGTTTGTTTGAATGATGAGTATTTCGTAAACACGTTTGCTTTTCAGTGGCTACGAATTATTGAATTTTTTCCTGGAATTACCTTCTTGATTGCTCTTTTGTTGAAGATGCAGATTGGGATACATGTTTCCCGTTTGTGCTAGAACGGAAAAAGGTAGATATTATTAGCATAGCTCCAACGGATAACCACACAGATAAGTTACATGAACGGAGTTTGCATTAAGCAAAAAACATAATCCTGTTTGAAAGAAAGCAATCCAATTACACATACATCTCAAATGAAGGTAGAAACAACTACATGGTCTGAATTCTGTATCAACTACATAAATTTTTTTTCCTTGAGCAGAAAAGAACATTGGATAGATATAGAAACTAAAACCAGTATGAGTCTTATTTGGTTTTGGTCACCTTGCCTCTACTTTTGACACGACTAGCTGCAGTGGTTCTTGTTCTAGCCTTGAGCTCAGATTCCTCTCCTTCATCGCTGAATCTGTCACGAACTCTGTTCTCTGTCTGATGATTGACTTTTTTGGCATTACTATTCTTTGCAGCTGCATGATTCTTGGTGCTCCTTGGAGGCTGATGAGTGCTAGGCCATGACGATGCATCCGAAGTCATTGAGTCATCACTCTCATTGTTACTACTATCATCATCACCATCATCGTCTTCATCACCATCACCATCATCATCCTCATCATCGACCTCTTTTACACAGAAACCATCATCACCATCATCATCATCTTCATAAACAACTTCAGAGTGGTGGTTTCCATGGAAGGTGTCCTCGATGTACATGGTCCATCCTGATTCACAACTACTCTTCTCCTCAGCACCTCCATGAATTCTTGGAGACTCCATGGCTAACACAAAAACTTAACTTAGCTTTTTTTTTTTTCTTAATGTTACGTACCTCAGCTTGTTCCAACCTCTTACCCTCTAATATAGCCTGTGTCTCTCTCGCTGTCTTTGGCTCTGCTCTTCACCATCAATAAATACTTGTCCTCTTTTGTCTGATTTATATATTTTCCTTTCTTGTGTTTCAGTATCAGGAAAAGCCGGAGCCTATGGAATCACAGTCATATAATTGAATACCAGGAGTGAGTATCACCACATGGCAATCTTAGCACCATTGTTTTCGCTCAATTGAAGTACTACAAGACAAGCCATTTCAGATATATATCAAGGAGAGAAAGGTTAGCTCCTTCTTCAAATAAAAATAGTACTCTTCTATAATAAAATTTCAAGCTCTATAAATTCTCTTTTATCACTTTCTTTTATAGATATATAGGGAATTGAGCATATTATAGTTCCCAAAACACGGTTCAATACCCACCAAACCAAAGTTTATCTGTTTGACATCTCGTAAGTGATGTGTAAGCAATGCTTATTGGTTAACACTTGTCTTTTTGTTTTTTCTTTTAATTAATGATAGCCATATGATAGGAGGAGTATAGCTACAACATGTCATTTACTAGTTTTTACCTCTCTCTCTCTCTGTCTCTCTCTGTTTCACTGAGCTATAATCAATCTCACAACTATAAAAGAGCAGCTTTTGAGGTGGAAATGAGATAAGACCCACTCAACAAACAAGAAGGAATATGAAACCAATTTTCTTAATTAGGTTAGGAGCTGTTCCTCTTCCTCATTCCTTTAATACTCTTCTTCCCTCCCAGTCCTGTCTTGGTCATAAAAAGTGTTGCAGCCTTTTGTTCCTCTCTCCTCTCTCTCCCATAAAATAGTTGTTTTATTTTGCATTGAAGGTAACGCAACTGGATTTTATTTATTTATATTTGGTGCATTTACTTCTATTCTTGAGGAATATGACAAAACAGAGATTAGTATCAACTGTGGTGAAAAAAGTAAAGAACTAAATAGTTTCTATGATGGCTTCACCTTTTCTTACAGTGATTGGAATCCATATTGGTAAGTAACAGCTAAGCAAAACAAGTGTGGGAGAGAAATGAAACCATATAACATTAAAAACGGTGAAGGTGTAGTAAGACTTTGACCCCTCTTTTGAGCATTTAAGTAAATCAGTTTTTGGCCTTTATGAAATTTGATCCTCATAGTACAAATAATAATACTCATTGTGGGTCTCACGAGTGGAGATATATTAGGATTTATTAGAATTGTACACATCGTTAATGCCTCCAAGCTTTGTTTTCTTTTAGGGACTCTCCTTGGATTTTCTCTTGTGGGTCTTTGTACTACAATTCATCCTACACGTGTGAGTACTGTTTCTCTTTTGTTTTGATTTGTAATTGGATTAGCTTAAACTTATGTGGGTGAGTATTAGTTGAGAAAAATAAATAAAGAGAACACAGATTGGCTTCTCTTTCACTTGTTAGAACTCATATGCTTAATAAGAAGTGATTTGGTGATTTTGTTAAAAGGTTTAGAGAAAAAAAAAGAAGTGGGTATGTTTCTTATAGCACCAAACTTTTAGCTTTACTTTGAATGAGCCTGATTTTGTCAGGTATACTTCCCCATGTATTCATTTGTCTCTTACTTCATAAGTCTCCCATGTGATGTGAAATTATTATATATAAATGTGTATGTATATTTATATATGTGTATATTACTTTGGAAACTTCTCTCATTTAAATTAGACACACCACTATACTTGTTAAAGCCTTTTTTCATGATTTGGTTTCCATCTTAGATAAGATGACAAAAAATCTCTGCTGTAACATCATACCTTTCGATTAGATTTCTCGACCCATTTTTGTTTTTTTTGGTTTTCCAAAAAGTTCAATTATTGAATACATTTTATTGGTTGCAGAATTCTCTGCTGTTGCTGTTTCTTTTTTAAATTGCTAGTTTGTTCCTAACCTTCTAACATAGCAATCGTTTATAGGTATATGGAAAGACATTTTTCCTTTAAAATATAAGTTCATAAACGTCAAGTCAATTATGGTTAAATCTCTTTAGAGTACATAGATTAGATTCAGTCGGATTTAATGTGTGTTAGTTTTAACGTTTTTCTAATATTAGGCAGGTCTTGCATTACGAGAGTCTTGTCACAAGACCATTAAAGTCGCTGAAGTTTGTGTTTCTGGTGCTCTTAGAACTTGAGTTTCTAAACTAGTAGTTATCGTGGATTGAAGCACATTGACATCATGTAGATGGTCTTTTGATGTAAATGAATGATATTTTTGTAATATCTTACAAGTTAGTTTCATCTAAAACTTGATATTTCGATGAATGTGAGACTAAAATCCAGCTATGATTTGCTCATCGAGCATCATTGAACGTGTCAACATATCGAAACCACAATCCTCATTCTTTTTTTGTATGGTCACCAAAGTGTCTGAGTGAGTTTACATGTGTAAACCTGAATCACGGCATGAAATAGGTGGGATTTTTGAGGGCATCACTCTCAACATAACTTGCTTTTCGGTGGATGATTGGAAACAAGAAGATCAACAAAGTGATAGTTGTCAGATTGTATCAGCGCTAGAGGTAAAAAATATCTTTCTTCTTTCAAAGTGTTGTCAAGGCTAGAATCTAAATGTTATTTTCTATTTTAATTCAAAGGATCTCTCCACACGTTTGAGGATCTTACTCGAAGATTTGGAGAAATAATGGACTGCCAAATTTTCGCAGTTACTTTGTTCTTCCCATGTTTTTTTCATATCTCCATACAATGCTCAAAAGTTTATAAACTACGCGTTTATCGGGTTCTATGGCTAGTCCATGTGACCCTTACTCGTCACTCGCTCAAAATATATGTCACAGTGAACTCAACCTAAGCATTCTTGGATCGCTATCGCCTTCATAAATCCCCATTCTAGTCAATTGTCACCTTGCTCATACTTGTCGTAACCGCCATTGAGCAATAATGTTTGTCTTTGAGATGCGTAGAAAGTGTAACACTTCATGGATGGTCCAAACATTAGCAGATAATCGTAGCTATTTTCAAAGACATACACTGATTGTTATAGACCACCGTCGACAGCACAGTCACTTCAAGCTTTTTCTTGTTAAAAAATTATTACAGGATTGGCCCATGCAGGTTTCGAACCTGCGACCTTCGCGTTATTAGCACGACGCTCTAACCAACTGAGCTAATGGGCCTATTTGCAACAATTTGTCATCTTTTAGTAATATAACTTTCTTTTTTTGTGTAATATAACTTTCTTTTTTGTGATTGCACATTCTTGAGTCTTAGATGAATTAAAAAGCTCGGATGTTAGTTTAAACTTAAACTCCATTAAGGTGAATAAGTTCGATTCAACCACATGTCATAAGTCATAACAATCATCTAACACTATACCAAAACCACCTAACACAAGTTTTTTTCCAACTAAATGTAGCCCTGCCAATATATAACCTTGTATTTAACCGCTTTTATGACTGAAAATATTCTTAAAATAATATCAAGTTGACTACAAATAAATAAATTCAGGTTTTTGCGAAGATCGTTGTACGACTACAACTACGTCGTTGTTCTTTTTTAAAAAAATTGTACTTTTTTTTTTATTAATCGTATCATTGAAGATGAAGCCAAAGAGTGGATCTTATTTTCCCTCCTACTTTATTTTATAGTCTAGATTTCGTCATTCGGAAGAAAGAACAGAGAGAGAAGAACACTTGGCAATATTAGTTCTAACGAAATGATGTAAATTACTGGTAGCTCGATTTGAATAACTAGAAGAAAAAAAATTGAGAACGTATTTGCTACCTATATATCTCACCAAGTACTCATGATATTATTTCGTAAATTGGACGGATACCAAATTCAACACGGAGCAAAGTTCAAAACATATTTAGTTGATTTGTTTAATTTGAAGTAATATGGACAAGGGTATGTTTCTTAGTTGAACAAAAAAGTAGATCTATTACTCTATTAGAATTCAAATAAATTTTCATCTAGTTATCTTTGGGTCATAGGAAAACCCAACAACCATCTCACAAAATTAGTTGCATCTCACTTGACCTACTTCTCAAGACCCTTGTAACACAAGAAAACTAAAAACTCTACAATGCCCTCTTCTCAAAAAACTTATAAATCTCTTTGAAGTCCCAACCATTTTCTCTAACTCCTATCTCCCCACAAACACTTTTATATTTTCCCAAAATTTGGATCAAAAAAGTTTCCGATAGAAGAACTATGAGACTCCTCCTTGTGTTCTTTATGGTTCTCACCATCTTTATCCCCTGCTTTTCCTTTGATATACCGGGGAAGGATCTTCCTTTAACCCTAGATTATTACAAGTCTACTTGCCCGACCGTATTTGACGTCATCAAGAAAGAAATGGAATGCATAGTGAAGGAAGATCCTCGAAATGCAGCCATAATTATTCGTTTACACTTCCACGATTGCTTTGTCCAAGTAAGTACTCATCCACACCTTTCTTGAAACACAAGATATCATCCCGCCAGTGAAAATTCATAACGGATATGAAAAACATTTACTAATATCAAAAATACTTCCTTTAAGGACATATTGAGCTAGATTTTGGATGAAACAAAGATAGAATTTAGCTGAAAGGGTTAAATCGGTTGCAGGGATGCGATGGATCGGTGTTGCTAGACGAAACAGAGTCACTACAGGGAGAGAAGAAAGCTTCTCCCAACATAAACTCATTGAAAGGATACAAAATTGTGGACAGAATCAAGAACATAATCGAATCTGAATGTCCTGGAGTTGTTTCATGCGCTGATCTTCTCACAATTGGTGCTAGAGATGCTACAATCCTGGTAAATAAACACAAACGAAACATATAGAGTATATTATATAGTACTATCACATGAATTATGAAATGAAACAAAAATTTGATTTTTGGTTTGAAGGTGGGTGGGCCTTACTGGGATGTTCCTGTGGGAAGAAAAGATTCAAAAACAGCAAGTTACGAGCTTGCCACAACAAACCTTCCAACTCCAGAAGAGGGTTTGATCAGCATCATTGCTAAGTTCTACTCTCAAGGTCTCTCTGTTGAAGACATGGTCGCTCTTATAGGTAAGATCAATCCTCTTAACCAAACTAAACCGAAAATTATGGTAACAGAAAACCGTATGATTTTGGTATTGTCGTAAGCCGGACTACTAAAACCCTAACTTGACCAATAATCTATCTAGGAGCGCACACAATCGGAAAGGCACAATGTCGGAACTTCCGATCCCGGATCTATGGAGATTTTCATGTGACGTCAGCCCTAAATCCAGTTTCGGAGACGTACTTGGCAAGTCTTCGAGAGATTTGTCCCGCGAGTAGCGGAGAAGGTGATAGCAATGTGACGGCGATGGACAATGTGACGCCGGATCTCTTCGATAACTCGATCTACCACACTCTGCTAAGAGGAGAAGGGTTACTGAATTCGGACCAGGAGATGTACACGAGCTTGTTCGGGATACAAACGCGACGGATCGTGAGCAAGTATGCGGAGGATCCAGTGGCTTTCTTCGAGCAATTTTCGAAGTCGATGGTGAAGATGGGGAACATTTTGAACTCTGAAAGCTTTGCTGATGGAGAAGTTAGAAGAAATTGCCGATTTGTCAACACATGAAACATCAACAACGAAACAAAACAATGGAGAAATAAAGTATTTCTGATAATTTATTTATGCAAGAAACAAAATTGAATTCGATCTTATTCTTCTCCTTATTTCTACATTTTTTTAAATTATAGGGTTCTTGAATGTTTAAAAGCTTATTCTAAAGATTTTCAAAGATCTGCGTTGTTTGGTTTCGACTTTATATTTTTATGGTGATGGATGCAGCAAAATGAATACAAAAAAAAAAACTTAAAACCTAAACATTGTAAAAGGTTTGATTGCAAGCTTAAAAGCATTTTAGGTTTGATCAACCGACAAGCAAAGCAAAATCCTGCTCGTGTAAAAACTAGAGTTTCTAAGCATTTATTATGGAAAGATGTTATATGGGAATAATGTGGATGTGGAAACAAGCTAAAGACGTCAATACTCGATATCAAGTACTTGATACTCGAAGCTGGATACGACAAAGTGGAAAATTTGGAGATTGTTGAATCCAGTCTTCAATGCAGAGAGTATGGAAAACATGAGAACAAGAGTAATGGTTGCTTCCTTCCCAAGAAAGAAATATTCTTGACATATACAACATGGGCCAAACAAATCCATATCAGGGCCAAGCACTGCGACAGACTTGTTATCAGGATGCAATCTTTTGGAAACTCTTGGTGAAAAGTAGTTGGGAGTTTTTCACCCATTTTATTGGAAGACAGAAAAGTGTATATAACCAATGTAAATCGTTACGTCAATTTGTTTGGCAAAAAAAAAGAATGTGATATATAACATTATATTTAACGTACACATATGCAACATACATTTCTTTCCTTTTCCCTTTTTTTCTTAATTTTTTTTCTCTAAATTATGATATGTATATAAAAATACTTCTATCTTATCAGCTTCGAGTCTCTCAAAAAAAAAGAAAAAAAAAAAACTGAATAGAACTCGTGATTCTCTTAAAAAAACATATTTTAGCTGATTAAAAGATGCCAACGGTTTACATTAAACCAAAAAAAAATGCCAACGGTAATCACATCCGGTTTGAACTTATTTATTTTAAACAAATTTGGGGGTTATGTATGAAAAGTCAACCATTGATTTCCAATTAGATATGGATGTAACTAATTTACATTGTCCAATCAAATTACTAAAACTTACTACAAGTCCATTTGGGAATTAATGTGCGTAATTATTTATTATATATAGAAAAAACCAACTCGATGGTATCTCATACGTACAAACAAAATATAGAAGGATCTAGAAGATCTTTATGATCAAAGGAAGATATTATGAATATATTCTAGAGATATTTATATATCTTATATGATTTTATTAGTTAGATAATTAGGTTAATTCATTTCCTATATAAATGTATCTCTCATCACGTTATCATGGTATCAGAGCCACAATGATCTAACGATCGGTTCCGTTCCTGTTTCTAAGCCAAGGGGTTCTTATTATTATTATATTTTTTAAAAAAACTAAAACTGCTTCCAACATTCAAGTTCATCACGAACTTCTGAATTAATCTAAGCTAAAGTGATCATAAAGATCTTCTAGATCCTTCTATACAAAATCCCCTATTATCAAAAAAACATAATCCCTAACAATGGTGATGGAGGCATACAGGTCAGGTCTTGTGGCACATCCAAAACGGACTTTAGCTGGAAAGTTCTTCACAAGTGTTTGTCCACCGTCCTTTGACAGAACAGAAATCATACTGCAGCAGCAATGGAAACTTTCCCGCGGCTTCAAGGTTTTCGCTTTTGAGAAAGACGATATTATCTTATTCGAATTCAGGACAAAGAGAGACAAGAAGAAGGTTGTAAAAGGTGGACCTTGGAACATTGATGGTATCTTATTAGTCCTCAAGGAATGCCCACAAGACATTTCCTTGGCTGATATTGATTTCTCTGTTGCTTGCTTCTGGGTCAAGGTATTAGGCCTGCCCTATTTTTGGTACATAGAAGCAGATGTTGAAAAGATTGGGAAAAAGCTTAGTGATGAGTCATTGATTTCGTTTAAATGTGACTATTCAACAAGATGTTTTTGGGTTAAAGCTCATATAAATCTGAAAAAAACCGCTCCCTCCTGGATTTTACATTGGTAGAGGTCGTAGACGTCAGTTCGTTCAGTTCAAATACAAGAATCTAGGGGAGTTTTGTGAACATTGCGGTATGATTAGCCACCAGAATTGTGGAAAACCCTCAAAGCAGAGACCTTTGACCCGTGAGTTTAAAACGCATGTGTATGGGCCATGGCTGAGATACGACCCTGAACCGGCTGGTAAGGGTTTACCTGTGAAACCGAACTACTTTGAGTTGTGTAATGAGGTTGGTTTGGAGTACGAGGAGACACTTACTTACGCTCAATTCTTGGTAGGGGTCGAGGTTGATGTTATTTACGCGAGCGAGCATGAGTGGGGCGGCAAGAAACTGATTCGTTCCTTGTTAATAACCGAGTATGATTACTGTTTCCGGTTTCCTTGTTCCCCGACACGAGTTATCAAAGATGTTTTAGCGCTTGAAGTCGATAAGATCTCGCCTCTGGCGAGGTTGACAGCAGAGGACAAGGCCAGCATCGTTTGTGGCTTCGTGGATCACTTAATGACGCAGAGGGAGACTTGGTCGAAGAAGAGATGGGTTCCTCTCTTAGTTCGTGTCGAGAAAACAATATTGGTACCACCAGTGGATATGGAGACTATGCTTCAAGAAGCCAAAGATAAAGAACTTCATGAAACCATCAATTCCATGGTTATTAAATTGGTTGACCCATGTTTAGAGAAGTCAGACGATTTACTGATGAGGAATATTCGAGATGGCATTGGTGAGGTTGGTTTGACTCATCAGGTCCCGGATTTTTATATAGAGATGTTGATGGGATGGGTGAAAGACTTGAACAACTTTTCACCAAGAAGTTCCAAATTAAAATTGCATCCTGATCATAACAAGTGTGTCACAGTGCTTGGCCTCGATATGGATTTGTTTGGTACATGTTGTGTATGTCAAGAAGATTTTTTCCTTGGGGAGGAAGCAACGCTTACTTATCCTTGTTCTCATGCTTTCCACACTTGCTGCATTGAAGACTGGATTCAACAATCTCAAAAGTGTCCACTCTGCCGTCTCCAGCTTCAAGTGTTATCGAGTCTTGATGTGTTTAGCTAGTTTCCTAATCCACATAAGAAGCTCCAGTTTCTCCTAATACATCTTTCCATGATAAACTCTTAGAAACTCTCTTTTCTTTGTTTCACAAAACTCTCTCAAGTTAGTTACTAATTGAATCTTTCCGCTCTTTTTTTTTTTTTTCCCTTTTCAATTTCTAAAAAGCTTTTGTAATATTTAGAATATATTTGAAGTTCATGAACTAAATCCACCAAATGAATTAAAATACAATTTCTTAAAGTCATAAAACAAAGATTGACAGAAACCTATTCAAAGGCAGAGCCGCAGAGGTATGAACCACATGAAATCTACCCGTAATGTAGGAAGGATCAGGTGTTAGAGCTCTTTCGGGTTTAGATACCATCATGACCAAGTTCGTACTTAAACAAAACCTTTATAAAATCCATAGTAAAGCCGAGTCTAATGCAACATAAAACATGGAGTAAATGCAAAGACCAAAAAATACAAAAAAAAAAAAAGTAGAAAACTAAACAGATTGGCAGACATTATCTCAATGCAAAATACAATTTCTTAAAGTCTGGTAGATAGAATGATGTATCCAATAAAACCCTCCTAAAACTGATTCCTTCTTGGCTTTGTGGACTGGCCAGGTTTGCTAGGTCCCATTTTGTTCTTCGCTTTAGGCTTTTCAAGCTGGTTTTTAGCCTTTTGTACTACTCTTATCTGCATTTGTTCGAGTTCCTCTCTGTTTTGCGCTTGTATCTCTTCATCGCTCTGAATAGGAGTCGTCTTCTGTTTGCGTCTGGGAACAGACCTGCGAAATCCTGCAACTCTGGTTGCTGGTTTTGTGGGGGGACGTTGCAAAGGTGCAAGTTGTTCCTGTGGACTTGAAGATGCTCCCTCCTCCTGCTGATTTTTCAAATTCAAGCATTTCATAAGGGAAAACATGCAAGCAAGAAAGAAAGAAAGAAAGAGAATGCATCCTTACTTGTGCTTTATTTTGCAAGAGTTCAAGTTTTGCAGTAAGCTCAGTGATGTTGAGTCTATCATTGTATTGCAGACATTGAGAGGCGAGACTGAAAACTATGGTAGCTTCTTCTGTTGAGAACTCGCCCTCTAAATTTGGATCCATTAGCTCAATGACATCTTTTTCAAGTATAGACTAGAAGCAGAGTAATCAAAATTCACAAAGTCAAGACTCAAGAGTATTCACAACACAGCAAAATACTAAGCTGGAAGCAAGAGATGACTTTGAACAGAATCACTTACAAGGTCTAAAGGAATTTGCTTTCCCGTTAGCAAAGTTAAGAGAAAATAACCAAATCTGTATGTCATACTTTCAGGGTTCACAACGCTTCCTGCAGTCAGAATATAACATCACATTCCCCATATATTACATATTTCCATGTTAAATGCTTAAATACTCTATTTTGTACACGAGCAGGATCAAGCTTTGCTCCAGCTTAAATTCTTCAAAGCTTGCAATTAAATCTTTTACAATGTCAAAACATACCTTTCACGATATTTTCTAGTTTTATATGCTATCAATCCAATTAATAAAGTTATGGGATTTGGAAACATTCAAACTAATTGAATCTACTAGACAAGAGATGCCCGAACAAATTTTCTCGATGATTCAATACTACTGCTTTAGCTTGGGCAATGAGGTGCCTTGACAATTTGGGCTATGAAGTGATGAAGTTAGAGAGTGACTCTACAAGTGCATCATTCATGTTGAGAATCCAAGGGTTACTATGTGAGATCATTAAGACACGTCGAAGACATCTATGAGCATCCTTTGGTTGCCAAAGAATTCCTCCTCTTTTTCCGATTTGTCATGCAATTTTAGATAGTTATAAATTTGATTTATCTAGTTTTAGGGACGGATACACATCTAGGTTGTATCCGGTAACGTTTTAATATGAGGTAGGTCTATTTACTACTTTTCCACAAAACTATTTTTTCAGTTTATTTTTTGGTCTTGTCCTCTTTTCCTAAATACAACTTAGCAAGAATCACAACCTACACAACTTGACAAATTCAAAAACAAAAAAATGGAAAAAGAAAATGTCACAAAGCATTGATTATCGCCTGCTTCTTGGAACACCGTAACGCAAACATATCATCAACATCTCGAGATCTCTTTCCACCGCAAACGGCTACGACGTCGTTTGGCTTCACGGTAGTCACATTAAAGATATCAACTCCGAAAAGCCGAACCACCACCTGAACCGGGTTTTCCCTCGGACCGGACCGGACTTTCCAATCAATATATAACTGACGGTCTAGTCCGGTCGATCTTTCGAAAGTAACAACATCACCGGCTTGGAGATTCTTCTCCTTGACGAATCGACTCCATCCCTTGGTCAACACGTAACTTTGACTACTGTTCCAGTATGAGTAACGGAACCTCCACACTTTACCGTTAACGTCTTCGAAGTTGATCAAAACGCCTTTAGTCACTGCCGGTGACGGTGACGGTAACGGAAAGTGTTTCTCCGCGTGTTGTTTAGGTATCACGAGACGGTTTAGCTTCCCGACGTCGCTAGGTGTAACAGCCTTCTCGAAAAGAACTTCACGCGTCTTTAAAACGTTGTCGTTTTGAGTAGTACTCGATCCGTTACGTTTTCCGTTAGCGTCGACGGCGAGAAACGACCGACGTTTGTTGTTCTGTTCAAGCTCGTCGGCGTAAGTATGTTTTCTCAACATGTCGACGATCTCGGCCTTAGAGTGAGCTTCAAGAAAAGCTAAATCGCCATCTTCCAGAACGTTCTTGAAGTTGACGACGGCGTCGCGGCCACGGAATCGACGAGCGGCGATGTCGTAGGAACGAGCAGCTTCTTCTTGCTCGTTAAAAGTCCCGAGCCATACTCGTTGGTGCTTCTCGTAGATCTGAGCTCCCCATCTTCCGTTAGGCTGAGGAACCACACCTTTGTATTTTGACGATGGTAGCTTTCGTGACTCCGTCTCTAGGCCGTTCTCGGGATCCAACACGACGCTACTTCCGCCACTTCCCATCCGGTAAAGGCGTAACGCCGCAGCCGGATGAGAAGGAGGAGAGAACTTTGTGGCGGTGGCGGTGGCGGAGAAAGATTCTGAAGTGGAGGAACTTATCTCGTCTATGCAACTGGAATCCATTTTCTTTGTTTCTGTTTCTTGAAGATTCACACCAAACCAAGAAACACAAATTATAACCTTTTAACAGAAAGAAGAAACACAAATTAGGTGAGAGAGATTTTGGTGACGTTGTTACTTTTTCATTTATTTGGTTGAGATATATATACAAAGACATATGATGATGTGAGGAATGGACGAGGCAAGTGCATGTACATGTACATGTTATTATTTGTATCTAATTAATTATATGTTTTTGAAGTAAAATTTGATTGGTTTATGGAAAAAATGGGTCAAATTGAGAAAACATTTTAAAAATGGAAAGGTAGGGTCAACGCTTACAAGAACGGCAAAAATAACTTTGACGGAAGTTTCCGAGAAGGGCAGACAAAAAAAATGTAGTACCACGGCTTTTACATCTTTCGTACGTTTGTTTGTTATGTACATTTTTGGGAAAAATATTTCAACGACGTAAGAACATTTTCTTACAACACATTACCACGTACTTTCATCAAACAAAGTTCTCATCGATCAATCATCATATAAGTGTTTTTTTTTTGTTGTTGTTAAAATCAATCATCATAAAAGTTGTTATAACTGATATATAACCATAGTCGAAATTAGATCTTTTATTGGATAACCAAATTTTATAACTCATACTGTATATAGTTTTCCGGAAACGATGGATATATACCATATAGACTAGATATAGACATATAGTCAAACATTAACTTTTGATTTTATTCATGGATCATATTAGGGATAATAATATCTTACATTGGAAAGGATAAAAAATCTAGACTAGTATATAGATATGAGTTCACGCGCATTGCCAGTTGGTTTTGAGTTGGAAACCCATATTCTAGTATGATATGAGAGTCTAATCCATACGTGTCCAATCCAATCTACAATCAGTCCGGCCCAATAGTTGGTCCGTTGATTCACGTCCGAGCATACCAAGACCAATGATAGAAGAGTCATCATCTTGAATGAGTGTATTAAAGATAATAATATCCTATATTGGAAAGAATAAAAGATATTGACTAATATATAAGATATATGAGTCAATCCATTCATTTCCTATTGGTTTTGAATTAAGACTTGTTTTCTCATAGATCATTGATTCATTGACATATTAGCATGATCAATTCATATCACATTTTTTGTAAAATTCAAAACAGTTATGACATTCTAGATGCTAGAGGAGAAAGAAGTTACTGAATATCGATATGTTTTTCAACAATCCAAATATGTTCAATTGTTTTGTGACATTGACATACATAGAAGAGTCAGAGATTGAAAAAAAACAAAAAAAGTCAGAGAAGAGGATAAAAAATAAAATTAAGTCATAGTTTTGACAAAACAATACATACAAATGAAGAACCAATGGGTTACATGTTCATGGTAAATGGGGACCTACCAAGAGGGTCAAGTGGGATGGGGGCTCACATGAACCTATCCTCACTTCTTCTTTTTTTGGTATATTTTAGTTCATCCCCCTTTGAAGCAATTGTTGTGTCCATATTTTATTCACCATCTTTATATTATTTTGGTTAAATGTTTTGTAAATTGATTAGAAAAAAAAAAAAGACTTTTGGATAGGTAAGGTCGCAAGGATTATGATCTTATCTGATACTGTTGTCTCATACACTCATACAAATATCCTAACATATTTTTTTTTTTAAAAAGAAAATATCCTAACATATTCTGCTTTTTTTTTTTTTTTTTCAGTTTCCTTCTTAATGCGTGTAGCTCTTTTTTTTGTCTACACCAATAGGAAATGTATGTATTTATTGCAATAACCAAATTCACTAATAATTTTCTTTAAACAACTTAGCTTGCGGTATATGATATTTCTAATTTATTTTATAATATATAGAATATTTTCGATGTACGTATCTCTATATATTTCGCAGAAAGAAAAATGGATTAAGTGTGGACATGGCGTGTTGTTCCCGCTTGGGAGGGAGACAATTTGACTAGTTTGAGCTTATCCAACCAAATAATTTCGAAACACTCCAACGTTGCTATGTTTTCATTTTCGCCCCCATTTTAAATAATTTTTACGTTTTACTTTACAGATTTATAGCAGTTCAGTAATTATAACGTCCGATTGTTTCTCGAATGAACAATTATTTTGTGTTGAATTTTTCTATATAGATAGTATTAATATCAGTATTAAGTATTTATTCTTTAGCAACAAAAAAAAATGTTAAGTATTTATATCATTTTCGAAAGTTTTTGAAATACAAATAACGAAAAAAATAAAAACCTAAAATTAAAGAACACAGCAAAAACTACAACACAACAGAAACATGTTCATACAACTAATTAAGAATTAGTTATAACTTTTTAAACTCTACAATATGTATGTATATATATTACAGTATATATCACCTCTCATTATCCCAACACATTAAATTTATCAATTAATGTGACACTTCAATAATCATTCAAATCACATGATAAGTTTGAATGCTGAATCTGTAATAATAAATAATAACAACATCGGAGAATAAGAAAATTAAGCATATTGAATCGTTAAAATGTGGACATAATTTTTGAGGGGTAAAAAAAATTATTTGAAGAATAAGAAAAAAGAAAAAAGTCCATGCAACGTAGGAAAACATTGTGCGGGGGTAAGGTGTCGCAACGCAAACGTCGTTTTGTTAACAATTTGGAGATGAAATTAAAGTAGGAGAAAACTTGTGATACGTTTTAAGAAGGAAAAAGTCAGCTCCTTCATTGTCACTGTTAAGTATGGACCCAAACCTCATCTCATCCTAATTTTAGTAATATTCCGATTCCATCTTACTCGTTCATTTTAGATTCTTATCTTCCATCGTTGAGATCGTACAGTTTTGGTAAGAGACAGAGACTACATCTATTTATTGACATTTTTTTCTTATTTCCATCTTCGGCTAATCAGACTTGACTAATTAAAATTCATTTTAATTCTGGTGGAATAATGTAACTCGTGGCCTAGTTTTAAGCCACCAGAACCAACTTAATTAAATATTTAGACCACCAGAAGTCCAGAACCAGCTTAATTTAATTTTGGATTTAATTTTGTGGCTCGCACACATACTATATAATTGGATACAAAGGTGAAAAGAAGAAAAATTAGATATTACTTAGCGTGCGACTAATTAAATATTATACACATCAAACCTTTTGTAAACTGCAGCAGCAGCCACTCGTTATCGAGTTTCCATGATTTAACTAACCCTGAATCTATCACAGCATAAACGAATCGATTTGTATTATACATTTTTATCAATGTGTATAGGAAAAAAAATGTATATAGTTGTTATTATAAACTTATTTGCTAGCCACATATACTATTCTCAACATTTAATGTATGTAAAATCAGCACAAATATGAGAAATTAATAAGAGTGTCATCTTGACACAGCACACAAACTAATGGGTGTATTGAATAGAGGATTTAGAGCAATTTGTATTAAAATGACAAATCATATGTTACTCAAACATGTATTTAAAAAAAAAATTAAAATCAAGTGTTATTGGATTAGTGATTTTAAAATTTACAATCAAATCCACTATTATTGGAAACATTTTAAGTTGTGGATTTGAAGTGATTTGAGTGATTTTAGGTGAGATTTCAGGAAATTTTTTAGTTAAAAATTCAAACATCCAAATCCCATGGTTTTAGGTGGGATTTGAGAGAATTTTAATAACAAATTTCCTAATTCACCAAAAATTCACCAAAATCATCTCAAAACTCATTAAAATTTAAATCACTCTAAATTCCTCATTCAATATGTATTCCTCTGTTTAATATTAGATGATAATGACTTTGTTTTTTAAAAAAAAATAATTGGGTTAAGGATAAACTAGAAAATTGGTTTATAAAAATCACATCAAAAATATAAAACGATATTATTTATGAAAGAAAAATAGAACTCTAAAATGATCTGTGAAACAGATTTTTTTTTTTCTTTCTTGTTGTTCAATCAAATGATTTAATGTGCATTTGTTAGATTTACACAAAACAAAATAAACTTGAAAGTTATAAAATCAATTATTTATTTTAAGACTTAAAGTGACTACCTGGAATTGAAGCGACTTTGTCCAACTTGATGTTCTGTTCATAAAGCCGAGCAAAACTACAAATAAATAATACTAAATGAAAACAAAATTGTATATCATGACTAGTTTAGCTAATCATGTGACTTAATGTAGTGATGATTAGTATGAGAATATCATGTGTGAGGCAAATGAGAATATATTTGACTGTATCTTTCATTCTTTTGATCACGTATCCACGTCGATACCGACAAGCTGTATATGTTGTGCGTACATTGTCGTCAATGTTCTTATGATTCTTTTCACATTTCTTTTCCAATGCTAATACAAATATTTTTATGAGTACAAGTTATGGGTTTATTGTAACTTGTTATGTCATTGGTGGGAATAATATTTGTCATCCGTCGTTGTACGATCCGCTTTAAAATATTTTCGTAATTGGTAAAACCATCAAATAGTGATTATAATTGTTAGTAGTTTCTTTTCTTAGATTTTTAAAAAATCAATTAGCTGCATTAAAATCTTTGAATATCCACTTAATTTTTTATAACATAACATCAACAAAACTAGTACAACTGTCAACTATAGAAGTACTTGTTTTTTTTTTATGTCAAATAGTAGTGATTTGTTATCGATAACGAACCGTAAAGTTTTGGCCTTAAATGTTGGCAAGAAATATTTTTAAATGCGTCGGTCAATTGCGTGACGAACTTTACTCCAGTCATTATTGTAGGAATGATGGTTATATTTCTTAATTTGATATAGAGTTTAGAAGCACAAGCACCCATTTCATACAATTATGAAAGGAAAAAACAATTAACTATCTTGCAAAGAGGGAATATGAAGACAATTAGCTTACGTACATCGAGGTCAACGAAGTAAACAAAATTGCCAAATCGTTGTCATATAATAATTGTACGGAAACGGTCAAAACACTTCATCAAGAAAGTTGATTTCTATTATTTCAATTGGTTACTGCCTTAATGGTATGACTATGACATACTATTAAAAAAAATGTGAGATTTAAACTTAAACTTTAGATCAACCGAGTCTTACTTAGCTTTATTTAAATCGATAATCGATGGGGACTTTGCTAAACCACAGTTTAGGATCGTGTGCCGAAGACAATTAGATTTTTTTTCTATAATTCGTAGACACAAAATCTACGTAAAGAAAGATGGTTAGTGCAAAGAAGTCAATGGCGCTAAATTAATAGTATTTGTTAACCATCTTATAACTAAACCCCCCTATGAGGTGGAAAATAATATGTGACCGACTGATGGATACAATCATACAAAACATAACAAACATACATTCACTGAATTTTCTCAAACGAATAAATAAACTAAAGATGATTTTTCGATTCTCCATCGTTATTGCACAAAAAAATTATATTGGATTTGTTATTATCAGTCACACGATTCGAAATAGAATTTTTATTTACCATAAACAACCACACGTCCATGAAGTCCAATAACTCAACCAGTTTGATTGATGTACATAATTTTTAATGATTTAAGGTATAAAATTAAAACCTATGTAAGATTTTTATTTATTTTACATTCTATTCATTGATATGATAATTGAGAAGCCAATAATATCGATAATAGATACATACCTTGTTTAAAAAATCGCTAGGCGCTAGTCGGGCGGTGAGGGTGGGCCTAGCGCCTAGCAAGAAAATCGGAGATTAAACGGGGATTAATCGGGGACTAGTTTTAAGGTTATTTAATATTTTAAAAACATATTAATCTATTATAAATAAGAAATTTATATAATCTTGTTTTTAAAATTGCATTAAACACATGAAAACAAGAATTTGAGGTCAAACTTATGATTTTTATACAAATTATGAACATAAGTGGGACGTTTTAAATTTTAGATCCAAAAAAAGAAAAAAAAAATGTTAAAAAAAAAAAAAAAATTGGGCTAGGCGCCGTCTAGGCGGGCTAGGCGGACGCCTAGGCGGTCTAGGCGGACAAAAATCGGACCACCGATTTCTTTAACCGATTTCGACAAAATCGCCGCGGTCCCCACCCGATCAGCGCCTAGGTAGAACAGGATACATATAAGGTTTTGAGTTTTTTATTTATTTGGGCTGGTCTAGAAAATGAGTAAATTCCCGTAAACTTGATGAGTTTTTGAGTTTTTTTGCACTTCATCATTAATGGGCCGCATAAAAAGCCCATTATTTAAAACTTACATATCCGAACCTGACCCAATCCACGTGTCCTTTGTGGTGTAAATCTACTAAGTACGAAAAATAATTAATTTGAAATGAAAAAAAAAAAACTAGTGGTGCGAAATCAACGACTGTTTAAGGAATTTTGATTTTTGTCTTCCAAAAAAACTGAAACTCTCTTCCGGTGAAAAAATTCCGCCATGGCTACAATATCTCCGGGAGGAGCTTACATCGGAACTCCCTCACCGTTTCTCGGCAAAAAGCTTAAACCTTTCTCTCTAACTTCACCAATTTCGAGTTCTAAACCAACGGTTAAGCTCAATTCCGATTGTCGCGCTCAATTGATCGATACGGTTCACAATCTCTTCATCGGAGTTGGAGTCGGACTTCCATGTACGGTTATGGAGTGTGGTGATATGATCTATCGCAGTACTTTGCCGAAATCTAATGGTTTAACGATCACTGCTCCTGGAGTTGCTTTAGCTCTCACTGCTCTCTCGTATCTATGGGCAACACCTGGTGTTGCTCCTGGGTTTTTCGATATGTTTGTTCTTGCTTTCGTTGAGAGATTGTTTCGACCTACTTTTAGAAAGGTTCGATTTTTATGATGGGTTTTGAGCGTTTTTGGGTTTTGTCTCTTGGTTTGATTGATGGAATTAGGTTTTGGTTTTGTGTAGGATGATTTTGTTGTTGGGAAGAAATTAGGGGAAGGTTCTTTTGGTGTTGTTTATAAAGTTTCTTTATCCAAGAAACGTTCTAATGAGGTAAAAACAAAAGCTTTGATCATTTGCTTTGTGTTTGATTTGGATTGAGGTTATCATTTTGTTATTGAGGTGAGGATGATGTATTGTTGGTAGGAGAGTGAGTATGTGTTGAAGAAGGCGACTGAATTTGGTGCGGTGGAAATTTGGATGAACGAGAGGGTTCGAAGAGCTTGTGGGAATAGCTGTGCTGATTTTGTTTATGGATTTCTCGATGTAATTTCTCTTCCTCTGAAATGATGTTTTCTTTCGACTATCTTGGTTTATGATTTTGCGGTTTGTTAAAATTGTTACAGAAGTCTTCAAAGAAGGGACCTGAGTATTGGCTGTTATGGAAATATGAAGGAGAATCAACACTTGCTGGTTTGTTGCAGAGTAAAGAGTTCCCTTACAATGTAAGTGATTTTTTTTCCATGGTTATTTATCCTTTTGCAGTCATCGTGTTGTCATATTCTAAGGCAATGATATAGGTAGAAACTATCATCCTTGGGAAAGTTCAAGACTTGCCTAAAGGCTTGGAAAGAGAAAACAAAATTATTCAGACTATCATGAGACAACTCTTGTTTGCATTGGATGGTCTTCACTCAACCGGGATTATCCATAGGGATGTAAAGCCTCAGAACATTATTTTCTCAGAAGGTAAATCGTCTTAGCTCTTCTTGAACCTTTTCGAGCAAGGAACCCAATGAAAAGATGAGGACTCATGTTTTGTGTCCACTAAAACTTGAGCAGGTTCTCGTTCTTTCAAGATTATCGATCTTGGAGCTGCAGCTGATTTGAGAGTGGGAATTAACTATATTCCAAAAGAGTTTCTCCTAGATCCAAGGTCTTTTTCTTTTCAAAATTTGTATATTTCTCTGCCAAGGATCACACATGTGAACCCTTTGTTTTCGTAAACTTCAGAAACAGCAATTTCGTTTCTCCGTGATATAATAAATATCTTTCTTTTCGGCTTGTCGCTTTCAGGTATGCAGCACCTGAGCAATACATCATGAGCACCCAAACTCCATCTGCACCTTCAGCACCTGTTGCAGCTGCACTTTCCCCTGTCCTGTGGCAGGTGCCAACTAAATTGTTTGACTATGCTAGCTTAGTTGATATAAAGCTATCCTAGTTTCATAAACTTAAGTGTTGGATTTTGATGCTTATTGTTTTGTCCAAACAGATGAATTTGCCAGATAGGTTCGATATCTATAGCATTGGCCTCATCTTCCTTCAAATGGTAAGCAGCAATACACCAATTGGCTTTAGGTTTTCTCAGAGTTTTTGACTCGGGCATGTTC